TGCGCAAGGATGACAAAAAGGAAAAAGAAGGAAAAAAAAAAGAGAGGGAAAAAAGGGGAAAAAAACAAAAAGAAAAGGTTTGTGAGCTTGATCAAGATACAAAAAAAAAAAGAGAGAAAAAAAGGATAGAACAATTTGATGACAGGATTTTCACCAGGCCCAAGCCTGTAAACTAAGCTGGCTGATGCTGTCAGATAACTCCGGGTTGAATTGTGAGGTGAGGTCCCTGGCCTGGATGCCTTTTGGTTTAATGAATTGAAGTTGTTGTTTAAAAAAAAAAAAAAAAAAAAAAAAAATCGTCTGGAAACAGCGGGAGTTGTGATGATCAAGCTAAATGGGCCTGGAAGACCCATGGGAACATTAATTTAAATGGGCCTGGAAGACCCATGGGAACGTTTATCTAAATGGGCCTGGGAGGCCCATGGCAACGACTGCCACTAAAGCATGTCGAGGTGCCTTTACTCCCTACAAACTTCTGTTTTTTTTTTGTTTTTTGTTTTTTTTTTCAGGGCGACGGCCTTGAGATATCGTCTTCAAACTGAGCGATCCTACTGTCTTCATCCGAATAGAACGCCCGGTCATTATAACTGTACCTGGACCGAAAATTGCACCAAATACGGCTATAACGACCAGGCGTTCTATTCGGGTGAAGACAGTAGTAGGTAAATTCAGAGTCATTTTACTCATCTGAGTTCGGACTGAGGTCTCTATTTTTTGTTTTCATTATTATTTTTTTACAGCAAATGGGATTTTTTGGGGGGAATTTCACCGACTGTACATGCTCTCCACTCTCCTGGGCCGAGGTCCCACTAGCAAAGACGATTGGTATCAAGCTCCTGAATCTGGAAGTGTTTTATGTACAGATGCGGAAAAGCAGTTCAATCTCGATTTCCTGCACCTCTCCACAAACTCGTCCAGATTCAGGCATTTGATCCGATCCTCTTTCCTAGTGGGACCACACCCCTGTCTGCAGTTATCCGACAGCAGAAGGAGATAAGAGCGTCCTCGAACACATCGCCACGTCCCATAATTTCTATTTCAATGGTTCACCGATGCACCAACTGAGCTAGGCCTGTTGGTACAAACTTCTTCTTCTTCTTCTTTTTTTCCTTTTTTTTTTTTCAAACTTCATTTTGGCTTCCCCTATTTCTGCAACTTCCCAAACCCATCAACACGCACCTTCCCCCCCTTCCTGTCCCTCCTCTCCCCCCTCCCTCTTTCCACTACCTGCCGCTTCTTCCCTCTCATCCCCCCTGGACTAGCTGCTGCTCCCCCATTGCCCAAATCCAGCCAGCAACACTCCGTTTCTTCCCTCCTTAGCTCAGGCTCCCTCACACCTCCTTTCTGTCCTCCTTGACGTTATCCCTCCCCCCTACCATCCCCCTTTTTTGTTTTTTCTTTTTCTTTTGGTGGGGGTTGGGTGGGTACAATTGCTCCAATCTATCCTGGGAACTGAGCCCAGCGTCCCGCCATTCCCGCGATTCAGCAAGCCTCCCGTTCTTCCCTCACCGCTCCCTCAGTCCCCCTTGAATGGCTTGTGGGGGGCTTGCAGTATTTTGATTTGGGGCTGGAAACATCAATTACTGGAACTGGAACTGGACAGGTGCAAGGGATAGGAGGGATTCGGGGTATATGCATGACATGAGAGGCTTTCCCCATCAATGGGAGTCTCTTGCAGCTTAAAAAAATGTTGGTGGCTTGCTGATGTACATGTGGGACGGTGGACCCGGTTTCACATCACTCTCCCTATAGGACCCGCAGAGTCTTATTTAAAAAAAAAAAAAGAAGATGTAGGCAGGCAATAAACAAATAAATAAATAAATAAATAAATAAATAAATAAATAAATAAATAAATAAGGGGTAAATTGTTGAAATACCCCTAAAAGTTTGGGTATTTCTTCAGATACCCCTAAAACACAGGGGTATGCTGAAATGGCCCAAACTTGTGCATCTGCCCCTGTCCCGCTCACTGGCAACTTTGCCATATGCCCTGGCCCTGGGCTGCAGGGGCCGTGCATTTGTTTTGCCATGTGCAGCGTCCAACGGGCAGAATAGGGGGCCATATAGACAAGTTGCCCGGGGCCCGGTGGGGGTATGTGCAAAAGATGATAGGTCCAATTGGCGAGTGGGGTATTTTGCAAAGTTTCACTACTGTCATAGGGGCATTTAGACATACCCATGTCCTTTAGGAGTATCCGCCAACTTTAGGGGCAATTCCAGAAATTCCCCGTAAATAAATAAATAAACTAGGCTACCAGAGTGGCCGGGGACCACTTGCCCGACTGGGCCAAAAATGATAAAAAAATAAAAAATAAAAAATAAACAAATGTTTTTTTTTAATTTTAAATTTGGATAAGAATTTCGATGTGACCCTGAGGCAAAAGTTGTTCAGTTTATTTTTCTGCATAACATAGTTTTTTTTTTCAGATTTTTTTTTTTGTTTTTTTTTTTTGCTGGTACCTTCTCTGGTCCCCGCCCTGGCAAACAAGGTCACCCAGGCGGTCCGGATGGTAGCCCAGTAAATAAATAAATAAATAAATAAATAAATAATTTAAAATAAGTAAATAAATGTACTCAGTCAATTCGCTTGTAAGAGGGTAACAGTAAATAAATAAATAAACAATAATTTAAAATAAATAAATAAATGTGCGCAGTCAATTCGCTTGTAAGAGGGTAATCAATGCTGCCTCTCTACCTAAGGACCGCTTTTTACTTCATAATAAATACAGGGATGGGGAAGGGATGGACATGTACTGTGGGATGCCGGACCCGGTTTCCAGCAGGTGAATATAGGTTGGAGTCATCCATCACACGGTGGGGTAGCGCACTAGTGGCGATGGGCTGCTCTTATAACTCCCAACTGTAGGCCGCCTTGGGCAATGTTCTTTTTCCTTCTCTTCTTTTTTTTAAAGCTAAAATAATCTAGGCTACCAGCCGGGCCGCCCGGGTCCTGGGTGGTCAGCCCGTGCAAGGACCAGGGAAGGTACCAGCCCAAAAAAAAAAATAAAAAAAAATCCAAAAAATCCGAAAAAAAACTATGTTATGCAGAAAAATAAACTGAACAACTTTTGCCTCAGGGCCACATCGAAATTCTGCACCATATTTAGAATAAAAAATATAATTTTATTTATTTTTATTTTTATTTTTATTTTTTAATTGTTTTCGGCCCGGCCGGGCAAGTGACCCCGGGCCACTCTGGTAGCCTAGAAAATAATCCGTTTTTCCCCGTTTTTTGGTGTTGAACAGGGCAACCGCCTTTACATATATCAGGTGATCCCTCACTGGGCCTGATCCAGCTGCTAGGTGGGGTGGGTTATTAGCCTACCGGGCCCTACCCTGAAGTGTCAACTGAACAAGGATGGGGTTTAGATGTCCCGACTTCCCAGCTTACTCTAGCCTTCTTCCCTGTGCAATCCCTGTGTACTACCAAGTGTATAGGTTAGGTACCTTCAGCTATAATGAACCTGAATAGGCCCTGCCAGTATTGAACTCAGCTGCGAATAGAACTCTCATCTCTCAGATGCCACTTCGCCATGCAACCACACGAGCTACCAATCTTCCCCTGAATGCAACGCACCCTCATTTTTGACTATGCAAGATTGGGAAGATAGCTTGTGCGCACACATTCGTGATCAGGATGCGGTGTGTTGGTGGGAAGAGGGAAGTCAAAGGGACCATCTCTCTTTCTTTTTAGTCAGTCCTTGAACGGAAATCGATCGTGGCTTAGATTTAAAAACGCGGCTATCAGGAGACTTCCCTGGCACAAGTCTCCCGGGCAATGTTCTTTTTCCTTCTCTTCTTTTTAGTCAGTCCTTGCTATCAGGAGACTTCCCTGGCACAAGTCTCCTGATAGCAATAAGCAGCTATGGCTACGGTTGTGCCAGGGATGATTTATTATCGCTTAAACCACCAGTCCCCCCGGCAATCCACCAGCTGTTGTCTTGAAAACGGATTTTCACAATCTATAATATGTTGACGGTCAGATTTTTGTACAAAGATCTACACAGTGGCTGAGTGGTGCTTGACCCTGACGGCCTGGCCCCGCGTGTTACTTCTGTCGTGTTCTAGCACGAATCTGGTCATTTTCATGATCCGGTTCAGGCTTTCTTGTCATGAGCACAGCTCCACCACCGCATTGGGCCACAGCCCTTAAAACGCCAGTACACCTCCGCCCAGCCAAACAGTTGCACGTCCTGAATTCAAGGAAGACGTCCACCGGCCTGGTAGAGGGTCGATAGAGCCTCGAGACACACTGATGCCGGTTTGTCACTGGTTTCAAAAACAAAAATGAGCGACCAGTTCGCCGCCCAAAGCTAAGTCGGGCTCTTACCGGTGTATGCAGTACGAGCATACCGGTTTGGGCGAACTGGTCGCTCGTTTTGTTTTTGAAACCAGTATGGGCCTGTGCAGGCCGCCAAGAAAAGGCCCAGTTGGAGGCTCTGGAGCCTCAGGAGGTAGCTGTGTACAATTAAGCTCGGCGGAACTGGTGGCGAAGTCTGTGTCCAAGCCACCTCTTTCACACGAACAGAACGCCCAGTCATTATAGCTGCCGCATCTGGACTGAAAGTTGCCCCAAATACGGCTGTAATGACTGGGCATTCTATTTGGGTGAAGACGGTGGTATCAGCTGTGGCATCTCTGCAACAAGTGAGGAAATGTAACACTGATGATTCAGAAATACTGGGAGGAAAGAAAGAGGTGCGTATATGTGACTTAAAATGCTTGCTCATGGTGCGCGAAAAAAAAAAAAAACATAATGGAGGAGGAGGAGGCATCAGGGTGTGTGTTGGGAGAATGCAAATCAATACCCCCCCCCCCCGCCCACACACACACACACACACACAAGGCTTCTTGCGTGTTCGTAACATGCAATATTGGCCACTACAAATATTATGAGAATGCGTATCGTTGTGATTCTCTTGTTCGTGATAACAGATTGATCGGGTTCATCTAAAACCGTCTGTGACATGCTTGTCGTTGTGATCGATGGATCTGACCAGGTTGTACAGTTATATTCATGCTTGGACAAAATCAGTCATATAGAATGGGCGCCGGATTCTATCTACATTCTTTGCGGTCTTTTCAAGAGAGCCATGGTCCAGGTCTGGTCTATTGAGAATGCCGAATGGACCTGCAAGATCGACGAAGGACCAGCTGGCATCGTCCACGCACGATGGAGTCCCGATGGCCGCCATATCCTGACAACCTCCGACTTCCAATTGCGCGTTACAGTTTGGTCTTTGGTGAACACTGCATGCGTGTATGTGCAATGGCCTAAGCACGCGACACGTGGCTTATCCTTTAGCCATGATGGCAGGTTCATGGCAGTAGCTGTGCGGCGGGATTGCAAGGATTCTATACACGTCTTGTCTTGCGACACATGGGAAATTATGGAGTCGTTTGCTGTCGACACGTTTGACCTTGCTGATCTTCAATGGGCTCCCGAAGATAGCTGCATCGCCGTCTGGGATAGTCTGCTGTACTACAAAGTAAGTAACGAGCGCCAGCAAACCATACATGCGAAGTATTGCGCACCATCGCCAACACTCGTCAACTGGTCGGGCGCCGACCAATCTAGGGGTGCCGACCGTCGGCGTGACTGCACTCTGGATGAATGTCTAAAAGTCTTTGATTTGCTTTCTTGATTTTTGAAAACAGGGGGCGAAGCAAAGAGAAAAGTGAATAGAGTTGTGTCAAAGCCAACGGGACTAAGACCGAGGGATGGTGGCAAGCCAATGAACCTCACCCCCTTCCCCCCGCCCCCCGCACCCACCCTCAACCTGCAGGCATCTCAGCCCGAATGTCGTGGTCCACAGGTGAGCAAGCACTTCGTTACCTAGGTATTATGATCAGCAAAGAAGGGATCTGGCCTGGCATGGGGCAGAATTTGATAGCGAAGAAAGCGAGAAAACAAGATTGACGCCACGCAACAAACTGGAAGGTTCACTTGTTGGCGGAGCCACTTTTAATAAGAGGCCATAGCTCTGCATTTTCCACCCTGTGTGGTATCTGGCTTTCACTTGGTCCCCTCCCTTTGACGACCCGGAATCCCTGTAAGCATGAGCCAGATGTTTCTTATGGACTGGCAATCCAAACAAACTGACACGTGTCTGTAGAGTAGCTGGCCATACGTCACAAGGAAACCCTGAGAAGGTGGCCTAAGCCTGATTGATTGGAAACAAGAGGCCAGAGCTCTGCAAATGAAATGGGTGACCGAACTGTTGCTCAAACAACACGTCCCCTGGCTACAGATGCCTCTCAAAAGTATTAGACAGCTAGCGCCTACAACCTCTCCTCTCCCCTCCCCATTATGGAAGGAAGTTTCTGGATGATGGCGAAGGGTTCGATGATGAAAACAGGACGAACCAGAAGGATCATACAAGCCCTTAACCCTTGCCGCGCCCGCCCCCCCCCGCCCCCCCCCCCCCCCCACCAAAAAGAAAAAATCCCCTCCCCCTTACTGGGTGTTCCACTGACCATTGGCGGCTCTCTTGGGTGGATCATAGTGTCCATCAGAATTCTTGAGAAGGTGCAACGCATCTGGTCAGAACCCTGTGTTCCTCTGACCAGATGCGTTGCCACCTTCTAGATGGGGGCAATGCATCTGGTCAGAGGAGCACAAGAAGTGGGCCACAGAGCAGGAGGTGAGGTTCCCCCTCTCAAGGGTTGCCGCACGCTAGCGGAAAATCTCACAGCCATGCAGAACAGCCTTCCCCAGTCCTGGACCTCACTACCGTCTTCAACCCTGAATATAACGCCCGGTCAGTATGGTGGCATCTGGACTGAAAGTTGTTCCAAATACGGCTATAATGACCGGGCGTTCTATTCGGGTGACGATGGTAGTGAGGTCGGATTGTACACAGGAACCAGGGGTCTGGGGGGACCTCCTCATCTCTCCAACAGACCCCACCCAGGCATACTGATTTGAGAAAAGACTACTGCAGAACAGCTGTGGATCTAGATTCATCTCGTTCCCCATTTACAATCAGAACAAACATGAATGAGAGAAATTCTTCAAACGAATCCGAATATTATTGAGGTGATCAGCTTTTTCCTACTCAGGGAGGTCTGAGTGTGTGCGCTTACAAACCATGCCCACTGTTTCGCCCCAATGAGAACAAAACAGTCTGTACTTTTATCAGTCTGTACTTTTGTATATCAGCCGCAGACCTCCTCCGCCGTGTATGCACGGATTCAAACTGGCGACCTCAGCCTCAAGAGCTGGGTGTCTTAACCACTACAGCCAGGGCACAGTGTACAGAATTCGACCCTAAAGAATGGCTCTGGACTCGAAAAAAAAATCACAGAGGAAGAATGTGCCTCTAGGCTCTAGCTGATTACAACATAAGATTTGGATACTGCAAGGAACCTGACTGTTCACAGACGTCAGACCAGATGTCAGGAAGATGGGATGTCAGGGTAGTAGAGAGGGTCCAGTCAGAGTCATCTGGTCCCATCTTTCTGACATCTGGTCAATCTTGACGCCTTCCTACCAGCACAGACGTCAGACCAGATGTCAGGAAGATGGGACCAGATGACTCTGACTGGGCCCTCTCTACTACCCTGACTTGATGACCAGACTGTATACCAGGTGACTCGACCAGACAGCAGCAGCAGCGACCACCAGAGAGGAAGGGAGAAGAAGGTACACAACACACAATTCCACAAGCAGCTAGGTAAGGGGTAGGAGATTCTTCTCTTCTTTGTAGCCGTCGAAGTAGACTCCACGACCGCTCCAATTCGCTCCAATCGCTCCACGCGCAGGTAACAATCTCCTCCTTAGCCCCTTCCTCTTCGGATTACTTCCCCCTCCTATTCACAACCACCTCTCTTTTCACACTTTCACCATAGCCAGCATCTTTAAACCAGCATATCTTCCTCGCCGGCCTTACTCATGCCAGCACTTCAGCGAGCGCAACAAGTTCTGCTCCGATACCAAATTGCAAGGAACCTGACTGTTCACAGCTTGCTGGAGTGTTCACGGTGCATGCGTAAATGTCATCACACAGATTAAGTAGTCTCACACAAAGCCAAGACGAGATGGAATGAGAACCAGATTGCGCAGCTCATATTATCAAAGTCACATTATACAAAGAGTATCTTGAGTTCAAGAGTCCAGCGCCAAACAGCATTCGTGAACAAAGGGCCTGTCTCAGCCAGCATCTCCCCTCAGATCACAAGTATGACGCCAACAGGTAAGTATCCACCATATCCAACTTCATAACCTGTCTTCTCTCTCCCTTCCTTCTCTCTCAAGGTCTTTGTCCTAGTTCCCTCGTCTCAACATGCATGCACACTCCCTATCTACGAGAATCTACTTTGAATGGTACTCACTGATATCCTACTACTAACCCTTCTACTACTACGAACACAAGCCGGCACAGCTATGGCCTCTTCTGCAGCCAGCGCCCAGCACTTCTTCCGTCTGGCGCAGCTCTCAAGCCAGCGCTCTTCCCCTGCACTATAGCGCACAAGTGCCTCAGCACTTCCACACATCAATGCCAATGGAGAATCTGCCTTGTGGGGAGGCTGCCTCGTTTCTTATAGTGCTGGCCTCCCTTTGCGAGGTCTGAATTCAGTCTAGTCCCAGGCCTCTGTGGAGTGTGTCCCAGTTTCTTATCCTCAAGGTCTGCTGCTGCTGCGGCCTTCAGGCCTGAATTTCGGACTTCCAATCTGTATCTAGACTTTCCCTTTGACTTGAATCTGGACTGGGACCTTATCTCTTTGACTTCTTTATGAACAGACACACCTACTGTTCGACAGACACACTTACTGCACGAACAGACACATCTCCTGTACGAGCAGACACATCTCCTGTATGAACAGACATGACTTGCACACCCCCTGGATGAACAGATGTGATTCCCACAATTGAATACTGCAACTGTTCGTCCACGGGCACAACTGTGACCTTTGACATGACTTTTTACTTTAGTTAGGATGTGACTTTTGACCCAGAGAACATGTCTTTTGATATGCTTTCCACGAGTTAGGCTCTGGCCAAGTGACCCCATAATGCTGCGTTCGTCATTAAGGGTCTGAATCGGGTAAAGGCCCTTTTAATACGAGCGGAGTCTGGAGGCTGAGGACCCCAGCCAGGATGGAGATCGGCAAGAGATGGATGGAGAAATGTGCTGAGTCTGGACCCTGCCTTAAAGGTCGAAATGCCCTGGGGTTATTTCCAGTCGATTACACCTACTAAAGATTAGTAGCATGTGTTGTTTGGGACCTCCGTTAAAATTGGAACGATACAGAGAAGATAGATTAGCATAGCCCCTGCGCAAGGGTGACATACATAAATCAAGAAATGGTCCAAAGGTTCGTAGCATGCAGTGGCTGATCGCCTATGTCGCCCTGCCGTCAAACAAGTGGCTTCACGGAAAGAGGAGACCCTCTGATCCATACAGCGCAGAAATCTGTGCAGTGTGCCTCGATAGCTTACCAGAAAGACATAGCTCACTGCCTTGTAACCTGCAGCACCGAAGCGAAGTCATCTATCTTTTATGGCAATCTGTCTGTTAAAAAAGTAGCAAAAGAAACGTATACAAACTATATCTGTATACTTATTTAGACGAACAAAAGAGTTTGTTATGGTTCTGGGGTAGAGTCAAGAAGCTGTGGTTTTCCCTCTTTCAAGCTCTTTGCCTCCACCTCCCCCCGCAGTATACTTATCGCTATCCTGCTTTCAGTCAACCTCCCGGGAGCCCTGAAAAGGGGGGAGATCTGGTTCCTCCTCCTCCTCCTCCTCCTCCTCCTCCTCCTCCCCCTCCTCCTCATCCTCAGGAAAGTGACTCTGGAGTATAGCGTAACAAAAAAGAAATAGGATGCAAATCAATGCATCGATGAAATCAACTTGTCGATTTGGATGCGCCTGTGTGTACCAGATGGTACTAACTGCAAGGTGTGCTGGCGTGTCTTCTGTCCCTGTCAGGTCCTCGTCTATGCGCCAGATGGACGGTGCCTGGCCAAGTACCAGGCATATGAGAATGCTCTAGGTGTGAAAGGAGTCATGTGGTCCCCCTCGGGACAGTTCTTGGCAATTGGCAGCTACGACCAAGCCGTCAGAATTTTGAATTACCTGACGTGGAAACCGTTGATGGAGCATGTTCATCCGCAAACAATCCGAGGGCCGTCAACAGTTGTCGTGTACAAGGTAGGAGATCGCCGCATCGATTGCGCTTGGCGGGACTTTCCTTAACTGTCTCCTGAATGTGACTCCAGCTTCCCCTCCAAAACACGATGTGTAGGCGTTGTATTAAATGCATTTTTTTCGGCTTTCAAATTTTCAGTAGAATGCGACTCCAGTACTGTTGAGTACCCTCCAATACGCTCCATATTTTCTGAAGCCGAAACACTTGATAACGGTTGTCCCGAGAGAGCATCTTGGACCTTTTTTTTTTTTTTTTTTTTTTTTTGAGGGCATATTGTATCTGAGATGCACTCGACCAGCAGAGAATATCTTGGACCTTTTTTTGTGTTTCTAATGAATTCGGACCATTTCTCGATTTATGCGTGTTATCCTTGCGCAGGGGGCCATGCTAATCTTCTCTGTATCGTTTCAATTTTAACGGTTATCCCGAAGGACTGTTTTTTTTTTTTTTTGGACCATTTCTCGATTTATGCGTGTCATCCTTGCTCAGGGGCCATGCTGATCTTCTCTGTATCGTTCCAATTTTAACGGGATGTCCCGAAGGACTCCCGAAGGACAATCTTGGACTGTTACTTATCGAAAAGATGTTGCCGCAGGGGAGAGAGGTCCCTCTTGACTGGATTCTCTGTTATGGACGATACATATCGAGGAGCGATGGCCAGAAACATGGAATCCGGGTGGCTTCAGTGTGTCTTGGAATGGGTGGGACCTTGCCCCAACTCTTTTCCTTCTTGTCGTATTTCTTGGATGGGTCGCTTCAGCGTGTTCTGGGCTACATGGCCTTTGTGACGCGAAATTACCAATACATACACAGACTCCCACTCCAACCTCCCCATCCCCCTTTGTGACATAACAATGTGTCTACATTTAGTAATTTAACCTCCTTCCAATATTAACCTAGCCCTGCAGTTAGGATTGAGTTGTTGTGTTGAAGTTGCACAGCCCCTGGAGGTGGAGGGTGGGAATCTCTCCATTCCGTTTCGTTTTACGCAATGCTCTCAATAGGTACCAGTTGGGAAGCTCAAGAGGTTTATGTCTCACGACTGTGTGATGCAATCACTCTCATGGGCTCCCAAGAGAGAGAGGGAATCGTGATTGATCTCTGTTCAGGGGGGGAGATGTTATTGTGCGTGCCCCCGATCAGAAATTGATGTCATTCTGCTTTCAAACTTTTGATGTGGCAAATTGCTGTTGATCAGGAAGTGGAGGAGACCAGAGACTTCGATGCATCGACTTTGAGCTTGGATGCTGACTCCCCGGAAGAACTGGGTGAAGGCGGTGAGTTCTCCATCTGATTCTCCAGTGTGCAATCTCTTCTTCTTCTTCTCCTCCTCCTCCTCCTCTTCCTTCTTCTCCTCCTCCTCCTCCTCCTCCTCCTCTTCCTTCTTCTTCTTCTTCTTCTTCTTCTTCTTCTTCTTCTTCTTCTTCTTCTTCTTTGTCGTCGTCGTCGTCTCCGTCTCCGTCTCCGTCTCCGTCTCCGTCTCCGTCTTCGTCTTCAGATCTTCTTATTCTTCTTCTTTGTTAGTACTTTGCTGCAGTCTGACAGGATGGCGTGCTTATGGGACGTTTGAATCCTCCCCTTCCCCCTTCCCCTCCCCTTTTTACCTTCTGAGAATCTGAGTTGAATTGTGACGCCACTGCCCTCGGACTAAAGGGCCCCAATGCCCAAGGACTTGTTAACCACGGCAGGGGCCTCGCAGTTCAACCCATAAGGTACTAGAAACCAGGAGAGGTGCTGAACACTGGGACCGGTGTCCCAAGAAGGTAGTCTCCCAGCTATTAGCTCAGCAAGCAGCAACCATACAGCATTCATTGCATTGCTGCCGAAACCGCAAGGGGTCTATCGTTGGTCCTATTGGCAATCGATAGAAACAAAAGTGCTGTCACATACTGTATTTCGCAAGATGCCAAGACCGAATCTAAAATGCCGTATGCAGCGACAGACGAAACATTGAAGGAAAAAGGGAAAAAGAAAAAAAGGAAACAGACAAGGAAAGAGGAAAACGCATAGCCACAGTAAAGAATGGAGAAAAGAAACAGACCAAGAGACGAAGGAGACAAAGGAGAGAAGAAAGACAAGGGGGACGGACATAGAGAGTGAGAGGAACAGAAAGTAAAAGAAGGCCATTAATATCCTACACAGCCATTCCACTAATATCCTACACACTGTACACAGCCATTCCATTTCGTTACAACTTCCCTATGTAGTGACGTGGACAGACTCAGTCGGAGATTTCTGCTGTTTTCTGAGTAATTCTGCTTGCTGAACCGATTTGCTGAGATTTCCGTGTGCTGTGTGAAGTTGCTGTGTGCTTGCATGTGAGTAAGTCCCCGTGTGATGATTGGTATGCGGAGTACCAACCGTGTGCTTGCCTTGTGTTCCTAGGAGGGGTAGATTAGGAATAAGGAAACCACGGGGGCAAGACAGAAATGCGGCGTACCAACCGTGTGCTTGCCTTGTGTTTTCTGTGTTCCTGGGAGGGGTAGATTAGGAATAAGGAAACCACGGGGGCAAGACTGAAATGCGGAGTA